AGCGGTCCGCATTGGCAACCTTCGGTGCCTGTCAGGGCACACCCGCCTGACCCGGCTCCACCCGGCCCAACCTGACCCGGTACCCCGCCGGTCCACCCCTCCTTACCTCCTCCCCCTTTCCCTTCTTCCCCTCATCCTCCCCTCCTCAGTTTCTCCTTATCTTACTTCTCCTTTATTCTCTCTTTATTCTACACGGACGACTTTCTCTGTATCAATGTACAACTGACCCATCTGCAGCGCGCCCACCATGTACCCGGCCCAGGCACCTCGGGCGACTTCCCGCTGTGCCCAGCACGCGCGCCTGCACCGGATACCCTCGGGATCTCCCACGGAGACACCCGGGTGGTTACGGCTGTGTGCGAGGGTGACGTGGCACCCGTCATGTGATCCAAGCCGCATGTATATAAACGAACCTGAAGTGGGAACCGAAGAAGTAGCCTTCTTCTCAACTTTCCACTTCAGGTAAGTAGTACAATATTTCTCCTTTAATAATAATAACAACTTTCCACTTCAGTCTAAGTGGCCAGGGACCGCTGTCCCACATCGGGCCTGTCAGTACGCACGCCCGATCCGCCCCCGCCAAGCTCTCGGTCCCGGACGTTATACCCGGACCCCCTCGACCCCGGACGAGTCCCTGACAGTGCCCGACCCCGGATCAGTATCTAACACCACCCTGAGTCTGCCTCCAGCACCATGCCCAGCACGACTCCTTCTATCCTGCCCACTTGGCCCTCACTGGGCTGCTATCATTCCCATGCCTGACTCCGGCCCAACTCCAAGTCTGGTGCCGCTACAATACCATCGCTGCTATCGCAGCCCTACACTCTTCCTTTGTTTATCTATTATTGTTTGTTTTGACCCACGGTCATTGCCGGCCGCTATGCAGCCAACCCTGCTCTTATTCATGTTTGCTTCCAGACCCTTCAGCCTTCAGCCCAGGTCCGCTTCCATTCATTCTTTCCTCCTATATATATCCTGTATGATACATCATAGTTGTCATATCCATCCATGGCCATCGACCTCCGGACCCTCCGATCTCTCTGGACTACCTCCGCTCCTTCTTCACTAACCTCGGAGCTCCTGTATTCCGCAATCACCTCAGTACCCCTCGATGGTCACCACCCCCTCTTTTCAATTTATTACCTACACCTCCCTAAGTATGGAGCCCTGAAGGTTTCCAGACAGCTCCGACGTCCGCTAGCGCACTCCCACCTCTGCTGGGCAATTCACTCGCTTGCCCTGCAAGCCCACCTTCGGGCCTATCCCTCCTTTCTGTTTCTGGGTTATCGCCTGCCATTCCACTAACCCTGTAACGTGACTCGTTGGTAATATTCAATCAGCTAATGTTTAACTCTGTTAGCTCCGCTCCACTCAGCCCTGCCATTTACAGGCCAGCCCTCATTGTAACTATATATACTCAACTTGTACATAGGTTACACCTCAGTAATAAAATCGACTAGAGTTTACCCCCTGTTAGTTCTGGTTGCCAGTTGGTAAGTTAGGGCACGGACATGTTACTTGGCACAGCACTCCTGGCATAAGTCGCTGAGGCCGAAGCCCTCCGCCTGTCAGGGGACGGACCCCGGGTCCCCATGACCCCTCTCTACAGTCCACAGTCTAGCCTGTAAACACAGCCCATCTCAGGGCATAACTACTGTGGGTAAGAAAGTGTATAGATAAATGAAGAGTAGGCTACACTTGCCTACTGTGGGTAAGAAAGTGAGAAGAAGGTTAACTTCTCACTTTCCCACAGTGGCCCCAATATGGCGAAAACTTCCGGGGATACCCGGAAGTCACATGAGGTGGGATCCGGGGTCGGATCATGCGGCGTGCGGAGCGTGCGGAGCGTGCGGAGCGTGCGGAGCGTGCGGAGCGTGCGGCGCAGGAAGTGCGCGGGAAGTGGAGCGGGTCCGGACGCGGGTCCGGGTCCGGGCTAAGTCAGGGTATGTGCCCTGACACCGCCACGGAGACATTCCTTCATCTCGATCTGGTCTCTGACAATAGTACTTTAGCTCTGATATTGATTTGACCATGACCCCCAAGTCCTGACCCCAGCAAGGCAACCCCAGTGAGTCTGAAATGAGGGCCAAGAGACAGCTAGGGGGCACAGTGCTCCTTTAGAGTCGCTGAGGCCAAATGCCCTACCCTCAGGCCTTGTTCACAGCATCATGGCCATCATGGCCTGTATGTCAGGGCATACACCCTGACCTAGCCCATACCTGCATCCACACCCGCACTCGCACCCGCACCTGGCTGTTGCACTTCCTGCACGCGCCCTGTGCCAGACACTCAGTGCAGCTGGATGGCCCGGACCTCGGGTCTCGGGTCTCATGTGACTTCCGGATATCTCCAGAAGTTTTCGATCTATTGTGGCCACTGTGGGAAGATGAGAAGTTAACTTCCTTCTCATCTCTGACCCACAGTAGGATTGTGCCCTGGACAGGGCTGGCCAGACCAGAGACTGTGGACCATAGGGGAGGGTCATGGGGACCCAGGAGTCGTCCCCTGACACTGTAGCAGCCTGCAACAGCAACCCTCGGTGCCGACCCCGGACCCGTGTCTAACAGTTTCTGTGCATATGCTGCAGCACACATTTCAATAAATACTTGTTCATACATTGAGAAATCCTGCAACATTAATAACATGGAATGAAGGACATACTTTCAAACTGAAGATCATCTGTAATGCCAGCCTCATCAAGCATGTCGCTGATGGATTCCTGCTTTGCAGGATTAGTGTGTCCCCACAGGGTTTCAACAAGGCCTGCCACAAGTGGCTCAAATGACAGGAGGGGCTTTAGGATTGGGTCCTCAGTACCGTTGCCATTTTTTCCCTTAGCTGTGCAAATGGGCCCTCCTTGGCCTGGAGGAACTCATTTACACTTGGTTTGCAGCAAAAACAGTTAACCCATCAGGAATGCTATCAACATCTAAGGAAAATATTGGCGCGTTCGACATGTTTTTGGACATGTCTTCAAATGATGCCATCCAAAGGATGAGGGGGATTTTTCAGAATCACAATTGGAAATTTCAAAATTTTGATTTTGCATCTGCAAGATCGGCCTAAGTGTGTCTACCTAAGTCGTTCCAAAACCGTTCTATCTTGTTTACCCACCATTGCACATCATTTTGAGTTATTTCCCCCAAAGTTTCACAGTAGCATGATGTATGCAGCCAGTGGAATGCCTAATGTGATATTTTGCGCTTTCTGTAACTGTTGTGGGGTCATTTGTGTCTACTAGGATCCCATTTGTTGTATTTTAGTGTTTCCCAATGTACTTAGAGCTGCAAAGACCCTGCTACACCATACAATGTTACATTCACAGAGGTTTGCAATCAAAATCCCGACTTTGCATCCAAGAGATTGGACATGAGTGTGTCTACCTAAGTTGTTCCAAAACCGTTCTATCTCATTTACCCACCATTGCACATCATTCTGAGTTATTTCCCCCAAAGGTTCACAGAAGCATGATCTATGCACCAGTGTGACACCAATTTTGGTATTTTGCGCTTTCTGTGACTGTTGTAAGGTCATTTATGTCTGCTAGGATCCCATTTTTCATATTTTAGTGTTTCCCAATGTACTTAAAGCTGCAAAGGCCCTGCTGCTACACTATACAATGTTAAATTCATGGAGTTTCACTTACAGCAAGCCAAAGAAAATCAGTGTGCCCGATTTGGATGAATGGCCATGCAGATCATGTGATCATCCAAAAATGGTAGCAAATAAATGATGATCGACCTCCAATTTCCTAAATAGGGTCAATCACATGACCTAACTGGCCATTCATCCAAATCGATTTTTCTTTGGCTTGCTGTAAGAGGCTGGTCACCTGCCTAAGTTTCAACGCATATTCAGCCCTGGTCACACCATTTCAGGACAATCACTGGATTTGAATTCAAGCACATGCATCCACAAGTCTTTCCTCAATGTCCTCCGTTGCTCCAAGCTGTTGGAGAACCATGTGCTATGGGAGCGGAGCGAGCATTCTGTACAGCCACGTTCCCACAGCTGCTCGTGATTCGGATTCTCCCGGATCCTACATCTGACCCACCCGGTTGGACCATGTGACCACTCAGTCACAAGACTTTCTTTTTCTACTATTTCGGACTTATCCGTGCCGGGCCACTGATACATTCATTCATTGAATTATTTCCTTTTTCCTCAGTTCTCGCCGTGGGATCAGTGGCTGTGCCAACTTCCCGTTTAGGCCATACATTCCCCTGTTTCACCCCTCACGAGACCACTACTGTGTCCACTGAACGGGACAACACCGGCTGAACGAAAAACTCCTTCATAAAAAACTCCTTCATAGAAAAGCCCCCCATACTTCTCCACGACCTACGTGCGTGTCTTCTATCGTTCTATCGGTGTCCAGCAGCCACTACCGAGTATTTATGGCCTCATGCAGATGCAGTCGCTTTACGTTCAGTAAATAATTCAGGTATCTCACAACACTCAAACACGACCATTTAGTTGTTTGTCCTTTACTGGTGTGACCCCGGTATTATACTTTTGCACGAGCAGATCGTATTCGTTGGCCTTGGATTGTGTTCTCTCTTTGCTAGTCCGCGAGAACTGCATTGACCAACACTGGCTGCAGCTGTCACTCGTTGTTCTTACGTGATAGAAGATCTCTCTGAATCCAAGACCCAGCCTATCATACCGCAGAGACTCTGGAAATGTGCTCTTGATGAGATGTAACACACAGGATAGATTTCATTTGCGAAACCCGCTCTTTCTCGACTTCTCGTAGCACTCGATACATTGCCTGGCACTCTCAATGCGCCTCCACTTTTCAGGGCTCCGTGGATTTGACCAGCATTTGTTTGCCACTATTTGGCTTTAAACATGATCAAGCTCCTGTATATTATGATAATATCGAAAGAGTATTGCCCCAGCCAATTCTTTCATCAATCATCTGCTACGAGTCCATAGTTCTATACTCACTTCTTGCTACCACCGCAGGAGTTCCAATCCATTTGAAGCTGCTCGCCATCCTACGGCTCTCCTCCCTCTTGGTTCTCACGATTTATGGGTTCAGTAAACTCCTGGTGTTCCCTAAAGGCATTCTTGACGTTGATTTGGGGAGTTTCTCGGAGTCCGTATGCGTTCTTCACTACGGCATTGACACGACCTAACACCTCTTTTGTCTTTGCTGGTGGAAGAAAGGAGGATGCAGTGGACGGTGGGTTTGGACTGTTTTCCTCAGGGGATGGAGCTGGTGATCGCTGAAAACCAGGATTCATACGCCGTGAACGAGATGGTCCCTCATTCGGAGGAGCCAGAGGTGCGCGAGAACGACGTGCCTTCCTACGTTCCTGATGTGACGGAAGATAATGTCCAAGAATCGGGTCAGCGAAGAACAACTCCGGATGCGCAGGTGGAGAAATGACTCGCTGTGGTGCATCGGGAATAGGATGGGAATGATGAGCCGCTGAGAGTGCCACGGGGGAATCTGCGAAAGGCCGTGAACGGGCTTTGTAGCGAGATGCCGTCGGTGTGATAGGTGCCTCATTAATAGACGGATCTCTAGGGATCGAAGCAGGGGCCACTCGTGACCTACCCGAGCGTGATACGTTTAATGGAGAGATAGCCATGCGATCAGAAGGGAGCACGATTCTATGAGATGCGGGCGAGTGGGAAGAGTCTATATAGCTTGAATCATCGCGACCAGTTTCCCGGTGAGAACGGGCAGAGCGCAGGAAGGCCTGTGTGCCCTCCGCTCTAGTTTTAGATCCAGATACCTTCCTGACGCCAGCAGAACTTGCGCTAGGACCAGAGTCGATTAGCTCATTTGGGTTTGGGACTCCGAGAAGCACAGTTCCCTCATTAGGATCGGCACTAGAGCCCCGTTCGTCTTCAGTAGCATCAGTTTCCCGACCCCCGTGCCTGAGCCTCCTTGAGCCCATCCTAAGTCGCTCAGCTATTTTGCGCCGAATGCTGCCATGAGTTTTGTGGCCATAAATTCTCTCATCGTCATCCAGGCTGGCATTAGAAGCAACCGTTAAAGGCGTTATTGGGTCAATCCCTGGAGCTACTAGATCACCGCTAGGACCGATAGGCGGTCCCTTAGCATCGAGGTGGGACGATTGGGCAAGATCGGGGTAGGGCGAGACCAGAGGAGCCCTGTCCCCCTCGTTATCGACAAACCAGCGGGGCGCAGAACCAGAAATGAATGCTTTAAGCGCCCTTATTCCGGGACTATCTTCATGAGCACTCTCCGCTTTGTTTCTCCTGTTATTGTCAAGTCCATCTCCAGTATGGTCGCCTTCCGAAGGACCGACCCACTCATAATGCATTGAGCGTAAAGTATGCTTCCTGCCAAGCTCCATTTGTAGAGAACGAGAAGGGGGGAATCGGTACGGAAAAGGGTCGGGCGCTAGGTGAGACGGCTGTACAGGTTGAAGTTTCCTCTGGTAGCGTCGAACTACTCTTGAGTACATCATACCTGCTACAGTTGCTCCGGCAAATATACCCAAAATGGCAAACAAGGGTGCCAGATAAATGAGTTTGAAAGTGGGTAAAGAAGAAAGATGAGGTTTTGGCGATGTAGTAGCAGTAATTTTTATGACATCCGTGCGTGAAGGGGAGGAATCAGTAGTCGTTTCGTTTGGCGTTGTAGACGGCGCCACTAGGCCAGTCTTATTCAGCGATACGCGTGTATACCCAGAATAACCCAGGCCACTGCGGCTAGCACTAACAGTAGAGATGGAGATTGCATTGGGAAGAGAGGAGAAAGGACTCGAAGTACTTAAAGCAGCCGTCAGACTGAATCCCGGAGTCGTGGAGGAAAGCTGAGCAGCGGTCCAAGGGGGTAAGGCCACCAGTAGTTATAAGTCGTTGAGGAGCTAATCTGTGTTGTCTCTGGTGGAGGTGCAAAGTAGACTGGAGTCCCGGAGTCTGTCTGCGCTAAGGCTGGACGTATAACGATGCATAGAATAATGGGGAAGCATAAAAGTATGCCTCCGCGTGACATGAACCAGTGAGCCGGGAAAGTGTTTTGGTGGGACGCAATGCCAAAATAGCTTTGAATCCCCGAGCTACTCAGAAGAATGACGCATGTCAGTGCATTACATGAAGATGAGAAGTTTCACCGCGAGGGTGGCTCACTCGGATGCTCGAGGATTGTCCATCAAACACGGACTCGGGTAGTTCCCTTTTCGCTGGCTTGTCTTTACTTTCACTAAATTATGCGGAAGTAACCACCAGTCGCCAATCGTTCTCCCTCGAACTTCTGCCGGTGAAAAACCCGTGCTCCGTACTGTGGCCCTCCTGGAGATGTGCGGGATCTATCCCTCTAAGCTCTACTGAAGATCAATGGCCATTTAGTGAAGCGCGCACATGCAACCAGCGCGGGCCCGTGTTTGTGCAAAGGTTTGGTTATATCACATGAATATCTTTGACCTGCGGAACCCCACCTCAACTAGCCGACTTACCCTCCAGGACGGGCCATGGAATACGAGCAATGGTATTTACAGCAGCCGCGAACATGCACCGCACATTCAGCCTGCACTTGTACCCTGTACCGCCTAAGTATGAAGATTTTGCGACGAGTCCAACACGAAAGCAATCATGCCTCTCGTTCCAAAAACGCTGTTCCTCCATTCCTAATTTTCATCACCAATTTCTCATACCAATGATTCAGGTCCGCCATAGAAAAAACCACACTATCTCCTTGTCCCTTCATTCCAGATACAGCAAATGATGAAAGGAAATTGAATAGATGTTTTCCTATCTGTTGTGCAAGGAATGTCGGATCTGCAAGACGGGAAGACGGTGACGGGAGTATTGTAGGCGGGTGGGTGACAACAAGTGCTGCTTGGTTCGATGAAAGGGATGCCACTTGTGCTAAAACCGCTTGGAATGGCTCGATGGAGACCCCTATTACGGCCTCTGTATCGCTGGGTTCGGCGACGAGTGCCTGGCTGACTGATTTTACTCGAAAAATGGCGGAAGGCTTTTCATTAGATAGCCTGAGGATGAGGTCAATTTTTAGAAGGCATGAGGAGTTTCCGTGGGCCAAAAATACCACTCACATCCCTAAAAGCTGGAATCCCTTCCCCGGTAAATGAAAATGCACAGTGGCGGCGTAGCCATCGGGGAATGGCACTTCATGTGAACAGTCAAATTAATGGAGGTCAGTTGCTGCACAATCAGACTTGGCAGTGAAATACAAACAGCCCCTTGAATCTCTCACCAGTTCCAAGAAGAAAGACACATAGATGATTTATCCTTCATGACATTTGTTGAAACTGTCAGAGGCCAGTAACAACAACACGTCGAGGGTTGCGCGGGCAGATATCCTGACGACTTACGTCTCGGGATTCGGGATCGAGAACGTCGCCTTTGTTTCATCGACTTGCACAAGATTGGTTTGCCTGCCGCCGAAAGATGCGTGAACGATCGAAGCCCAGATGTAAGCAATGTCGCTTTGAGAGGTGATAAAGAAATAGATGCGTGCGCACAGAAGCCGTCCAGCTACAAGGCACCCAAACATCTCAGCGAGCGACTTAAATGACACTTGAAACTGGTTACGAGTGAGTGGAGCTTTGTTCAAATTTTCCTCACGTGTGCGGTAATTCCCACACTTGAGGGTTTTGGCGCGTTGAGACCACGCAGATGGACATTAAAGTCGACTATCAAAGCTCTGTTTGATGAGTGTTTTCCCCTTGAGTTCAGACAAATACAACGCGATCGCTTCGAGCGATGGAGTCAGCGCAACTCGACAATCCAGGGGTACATCAGGGAAATGGATCGCATCCGAAATGGAATAAATGATATTACAGATCACCAGTTTGTACAACGAGTGTTCAATGGCTTGGATCAATATTATCGAATCAAACTTTGGACTACGGATTCAGCCCAGACTCGTACCCAGTCGGAGGAGCTCCGTGGACGCGCAAAATAATAGCTCTTTATGTAATGTTCTCACGTTCTGTACTCAATACAAAAGGTCACATGCTACGGAGTTAAACACATAGCCGATCACCTACTCCGGAAATTTGGACGCGACACTTCGCTCCTCCGACTGGGGCAAAATGTAGTATGGCTGTGCTCCGGCACTGTCCGGCCTCTGTCTTCCCACGGCAAACAAGCTCGCTTCAAGGCTCTAATCATCACACCCCTCCCCAAGCCATCACAGAAAAAATCCAAAACAAATGTAGTAGTTACCCCCACCCAAAATTAACCCAGCCCAACCCAACCCAACCCGATTCATCTGCTTCTTGCTCATATGTGCTAAAATTATGTTGGAATCTTGTATCGCGCACTCAGCACTTTGTCATTATTGAGCCCAGTCAAGGGAAAAACATGGTAGAACTACCTAATCATAGTCCAATCCTACTCTGGTGTTGATCACTACAGTATCCTCACCCCAAGAAATTGGCCGATGAGGTGAAAAAGAATATTTTGAGCGCGCAATACAAGATTCCAACATAATTTTAGCACATGAGCAAGAAGCAGATGAATCGGGTTGGGTTGGGTTGGGCTGGGTTAATTGAACTCGATTGGTTGTCAGATATGTACAAGAGGATCGAGCTCTAACTGGTTCGTTTTCTTGCTTTATATACAGAGGGAAACAGGTTATGTAAGCGGTAACGCCTTATACAATCAAGTACCCATTCCCAACGTTTTTTGGATTTGGGGTGCTGGTAGTGTTAGATAGGGGATTCCAAAATCACTCCTACCACCCTACACTGAGGGCGTTCGGTACAGTATTGTTGGGTGCCGGTGGACCTTCGTGGTGCCTACGTGATGCGTCCTCACGGGCACAACATCTAAGTCCCACAAGGATGGGGGAATTGGAAAACAAGTGCATTAATCTATCCAGGAATGGGTATGAAAAGGGAAAATGCATGCCGAAGAAAACAAAAGAAATACATGAGAAAAATTCTATTTGGGAATGTGTAATAAATAATTGCTGCCGTAACCGAGAATTGCAATCCCTGAGCTTGAACCAGCGCAATATCCAGTTAGTAAGGCCGACGGGCGTGTGTGAAAGGTTCAATCATTCGACATCCTCTTTTCGGACGCGGAAAGTGACAGTTCCGCCCCGATTCCAGATTTGCATCCCTCTGTCACGATCAATGAACATAATATCCGAAGGCTGAAGGGCAGTGTCAGGGAGTATCCACCATTCTAGAGTACACGATCAGCCAGCCCAATCTCAAGGGACAAAAGATAAAAAGATGTATCCCACTTTGAAACTTCTCAACCTGAGCGTTGTATTAGAAATAGGGCACGACAGGCGATATGGATCTTCCCGTACCTGGAAATGATTGTAAAGGAACTCAAACAGTATCGGCTGCCCAGATCGGGCCTCCTTATTCGCGTTCGGATCGTTTTTCAAGTTGCCCGATGGAGGCCGCATGAAGATGGGTTCGGCCGGTTCCAGGCGTTCCGTGACAGGACCATTAGCAGCTCGACGCATCACATACCTGACATGATTGTAACAATATGTATCAGAAAAGAACACGTCAAAACCGAGGCGGCAGCCGCTTGCCTTAGACATTCCCACCTCCTGAACCCCATCGCATCCGCCAACTTGAAATCTGGCTCATAGTGCACAGAATAACGGAGTGGAAACCAAAGCCATCCTGAAAATGTCGCATTATGTAACTTGACAACGTATTCGTAGCCTTCGGGTGAGAATAGTTGGAACGGGTTGTGGCGAGGAACAGTCGCCTCTTTCCGCTCCTCCAAAATATTTCGTATTAGCTCACGATTTGCGGCGCTGGCAGCTGGCGTGATTAAGTCCAAACGATCGCCATCCGTGACACCATAAACCCCGAGTGATGCTGAGGATAAGTGGTGTGATGTGAAGCTCAATGCGGGGAATCGGAGGAAGGTTAATCGAGGATTCGTGAGGGTATAGGTCGAGTATTCGACTTCCTCTGCGTCGACACCTTGGATGGGTAGCAAACAAACGTTAAGTCGACGGACTCACCGGCTCCTTCACTAATCCAATCTCGAAGGCGATGTGACTCCCAGCCCTGGTCCTCCTCCAGTGTCTTGTCTTCACCGATTCTTAGCCAAGTCTTGAGATCTTTTAGTCGTGGATACTTCATGTACTCATCGATCACACGCTCGGAATGACGAAAGAAGGTTAAGTGTCCAGGATGGAACAACAGCACTTGTTCATCGTGGGCAGGTTGCCCGGGAATGAGAACATCGAATTGCGACGAAACGTCAAAAGGAACTAGAAGAGTCTCGATGTGAGAATGTTTAGTAGCAATGGTTTGCGTATGGGGCGTACAATTCCGCTCGAAGCTAACAACACACAGGAAAACTCGTTCAAAACGGTATTTGTTGGAAGATCAACGCAGATGAACTCACTTTCCGAACATTGTGTCCATATCGCACCATCCCCTTGACAGATCAGTTAGTAGACACAGGGCGACACCACAGCGCACGGACGGACCATGTAGGAGTTCCAGGATTTAGCCATTTTCGAAAGACTGCGGAGCGGAATGGGCGGAAATGAGAGTTCACCTGAAAATAGATTTTCAGGTCAGGGCCAGGGTCCGATAAGGCAAATAGAAGCATACCCAATCAATTTTCCCCCTTTTATAGAGCGCTTCGCCAAGGGTATCTCTTTCTTCCAGTGTGCAATTCCATCGCCTTTTGTCACAAAGGAAGTCCCGATGTAAGTCCCAATACTCCTGGTATCGGAAACATAACTGGCGGATATTGGTATGCTCGATTGAGGGCGGTACCAACGACAAGCCACAACCAACACCATACTTGTCGAACTTGACGAAAAGGAGGTCGATTGAGGGGTTTTCGGCTACAGATGCGAAGAAGTTGGGAAGGTATGATCTGGGCTCATTCGTCGTTGCCCAGATTGCGATTATCGTGATCCTCGGTGGAGGGATAGGATACAAATTCTGCTTAGTTGAAGATTTGGGGCGTTTGGGATGGTGGATGGTGCCAATTCTTTCATTCTGAGCGGGATCTTTGGAGAGTGCGGCGGCCGTCATTTTTTTACGGCGGTCGTCCGGCCAAGTCACTGAATCGCCATGGTGCGCTTTCTTGACAGTCCCAGGAAAGAGACAGTAGGTGATACCAAAGACAAAGACAAAGGCGATGATAATAGCAGTTCTTCGTCGTTGACGTGGGTGTGGCATAGCAAAACCGGTCAGATATCGATGTTGAAATCCAGCGACCCAATGGTGCCAAATTTCGAGAGAATCAAAACGACGGAATGGACTAAGGTATCATAAAGAGAAGGTGGAAGGCGACTACGAAAGTGAGTCCCTCCCGCAGGTGCTATACACGAAGCGCCTACGAGTCGGACAAATCTTGGTAATGTGTAGTTTTATATGTATTCACTTTCTCCAGTGCATATAAATAACATAGTTCGAATTGAGATTCCCTTGGCAAAGTCCGATCTCGGGCTCATGAGCGAAAAACGAATTATGTAATATTACTGCTCACAGAAGGGGGGGCGCCTACAGCAGTAAGCGGATTAGCTGTGCGCACTTCCTGAAGCTGACAGCTAATATTACATATGAATGGTCTAATTGGCGTTTGCCGAGTCTCGGGGTCTCGGGGTGCGGCATTAGCCGAAGCCTCCATCTAAATGACCCATTTTGGAAATTGAAACTCAGAGACTTGACACCGCGTTGTCTGCCAGAGAACACTTTTCATGAGCTCAAGATCAGCTGCAGAGGTCAAAGTGCGTGGAGATGAAGCTTATCGCAAAGGTTGCTTCTCTCATGCACGGGACTTCTATCTGGAGGCGATTAAACTTCAGGAAACTGTTACCTTGAGGTCGAATGTGTCCGCGGCCCAGTATGAACTTGGAGAGTACCAGGAGTCCATTAGGAACTCTCAGAGAGTCATTTCCCTTGCCGAGAAGGGAATCGATCCTAATGCTTCTCCTACTTTCCAAATAAAGAACAAACTGAGGATCGCTCGGTCGTTCATTGCATTGCGGAAACTAGATGACGCGTTGGACATGCTGAATTCTTTGTCTGGCTATGCGGGTATAGATGAGAAGACCAAAACAGTTTGTATGGCCTTGTTGGGTGCCATTAGTCACTTGACTGGTCTTATTCCAGATAACAGGGCAGGAGCGGAAGCCAGGCTTGCGTCGGTACCCCGTTATCGTCCTGCGTTATCACCATCCATGGAATATTACACGGTATGTGTGCCCCAAACCCATTCGTAGCCGTCTTACGCAGTTCCCAGGTCGGCCAAGATGCTCCTCAAAGCCTCTTGGGGTGTCCGCAGATAACGAATCCCTCTGAGGAAGAGAAACGCAGAGCTAAGATCGACTACAATCGTTTGCGTATGCATCCATCCGAGCAAGCCTTGAAAGGCTTGTCTGATTGGAAGTTTTCTGCTCTGATGATTGGCTCAGGGGATGCTCGCAATCTCTACGCGACGCTTCTCGATATGAGCCAACAACTTCCTGCGCCAAAACTCAAGAGCGAGCGCAAGTCGCATGGGCCCAAGTTCCATTTTACCTTGGTGAGCCTGGATGTATGGTCTCTTGGATTACATGACCCATAGCCACCCCAAAGGTTGACATACATCCTACCTCCATCGCCCGGAACCTCGTGGTTCTTCACACGTTGGATGAGCTTGCAAGATTCCCTGGGAAACACGTCCAGACGAATAAAAGGGCACTGGATCTCCTGGCCATGCTGCACTTTGTGTTGTAAGTGACCACATTATTCATCCTTCGTTACTCTGACTGTTGGAGACATGTAGTTGGTCTTGCGCGATGCCCCCACGAATCTACCGTACTCTGATGGACATCATCGCTAAAATTCATGCAAACCCAAACCTCGAATGGGTAGTTCTCGAGCCTTCCACCATTAAAGGAATTAGGCCTACCATAAATTATTGGCTGAAGGAAGCATCCAAAAAACACACCGTCGAAGATATTACTTCTGGAGTCCAGTTCGTATATGTATTTTTTTCGGCATTGATTCGCGCTGACCTGGTATCGCCTCTCCAGTATCCTTGATAAATCTGGGAACTTGGCCTACCTCCAAGCGCTGGGGTTGCCGGGGAATGATGTCAGCCAATTGCAGAACCAAGCAGCTTCCGAGCGTGATGCAATGATATCGATGATAGCGCCTCAAATGGAGGAGAAACTCATCGCACAAGGGGAGAGGCCATCTGAGGCCAAGAAGATCGTTGAGGGAATGATGGACACCGGCGTTCTGGAGACTGTGTTTGAAAATCTCGACATCATGGAGGGGTCGGTGAATGAGAGATCGCTCTATAATGAACTCCGAGTTCTTTGGCCGCCGACTCACCTTATGTCAGAAGAACCTCCAATCCTTCAGGAGGTCATGAACAGGTCTCGAGCGGTGTACCAAAAGCCGCCAGCTGAGAAGGTAAATTTGGCCCGTAAGGCTATTCTGGTGCGTACTTCTGTCGTATGGAATAATGGCAGTACTGACCCTTGGCTCTTTCGGTTTCATTCAGAGGACATGGCTCCCGAATATAACATTCACTTGCAGGTCATTCATCTTTCACATGGTCATCTGGTGCTAATTCTACTTTTCAGCTCCTGAATGGCGCGGCTCTCTGAGCCATGATCCATTCAGAATTGCCAGCGAATTCTTCAATTCTCAAGTGCCAAAGAATTTCAAGCCTGATGACTATACAGCCTCCCTATATGATTATTCCGTTGCCTTTTTCTCTCGCGCTGCCGAGGGGGTCAGAAAATCATTCCAATATCCAAGCAGTTTGATGATCGAGCTGATCGCTAGCGATGGACTTCGTGCAATGGAGTGCATTCGCCTTTCGTCGTTAGGACGTGAGCCTGAATGGCCCATTTTATACGATCGCATTCATCTAAGCAACGTCCCTGATTATACGCAAGTGATTCCCCCACCTCATCCTTGATCTTATCTTAATCGTTTTCATCTAAGAGGAGGCGCACTAACAACATTCACCGTAGCCAATGCTCTCCTAAAACCTCATCCTTGTGCATGCATCATGTTCGCTTGCCTGCTTAATACAGGATTGTTCGAGAACGGGATAGGAGGTCCATTCGACATCTCCATGAGCTCTTATATATACACGTGCGTCCACCGACAGTTGATTTTGTTAGGTGGCTGAGCTTGTTGTCTAGGTATACCGGGGTCTCGCTGGACGAAGTTGAAGGCGCTTTCGGTGTAAAAGCTGAAACCCCGTATTCTTACATGGCAAACTATATTGCTTTTTCTCGTATCCCCACAGTGCCCCGGGAGAAACTCTTGAGTAGGCAAAGGATAACACGAGTTATGTATGATATTTTGTTCAAAACCTTGCGTCCGGTCCCTTGGGACTATCCCGTCCCAACGCACATAAGGGAACCCTTGAATATTCATGCTTTCTTGCTGTTCGTCAAAAGGCTAGCGGATATCGGATAGTATGTCTATTTCCATTGCTCCTGATGGTATGTTTTAATGTGCCCTAAATCACTAGCCCTGCACACTGGCTCGCCGACGTGATAGAGAGGATTCTCGAGGATCGTGCCGTGACAGATGCCGTGCCTGCAACCGAGAACCCAGTCCCATTGAGAAAGCTTAGGGAGCAACACCCTGGTACAAAAATTTTTCTGGGTCCGTACCTGGACGAAATCAGGACAGCGACCACACTATGGGCGCTCCTCCTACCATTCACGGTCTGTTCACCGTGCATGCTGTCCATCTGCGATATTGGGGCATTTCAGATTACGTTCTCTTCCGTCTACCCGGACATGATTATCCTTGGATCAGAGCGCGTCAATGCTCTTGCTCTTCGGCTCGCAAAATCCTCAGCGTCGGTGCCAGCATTATCGTTCTTTCGACCACAGCCGGATGTTATCATGATTTCCACGTTGGAATGGCATCGTCAATCCAAGGTACGTTTGGACGGGTTTTGTACGCATTTTATACTCAACGAGCTGCCATTAGACAGCGACATTTTGGATGTCGAAGAATGCTTTAGCCGCGCGTCGCTCAGCAGGTTTCCAGATCGAATTGTGGTCCTTGCTTATGACTCGCGGTGTTACTCAGCCCGAACCGCTTACGGATGTGGTGTTTTTGGAGGGTATGGACTCTCGGGATGCCCCTGCACCCGCCCCTATTGCAGACTCAGATCAGTTACAGCGTATCTAGGCTATCTATGCTTTCCTAGCATCATCATCCGTTACCCCGCCTCAGCTTATTAGTCACAAGCAGGTCATAATACCCCTATCTCGGTCCAAGCTAGAGTAAGAGAAAATTGAAGAGGTCGATTTCCCTCTGTACGTGGTTAATCAATTCCCTGTCGTTTTCGGGAATTACACAGAGGTTGTTTACCAAGGGCGGGCAAGCTCACCAAACGCCACTCCGCAACGCGCATCTTTGTACCGTGGCACCCGGGAACCCTGTATGAGTGAAATTGTCCCCTACCGTGGGAAAGGGACTCCAGGATACATGTCCACTCAGTTTTATCCCCAACTGGGTATATCAAGAGCAGTGGAATCCTATGCGTTCGTTCCTTCTTCAGATACCATCGAAGCGTGGGGGGGCCGTAAAGGATAGAACTTTCATATGAACGGATGGCTTCCGACGGTGTAAAAACGGCGCCTCTTTCGATGATTCATATACAAGTGCATCCTGCTAGATTTCCGGAGACCACGTGCAGAGATGCGTGCGAACCAAACGAGACAGGTTCAGCGTGGTAACACGACCATAACAGCCTACAGTTGTCCAGTTGGCGCGAAAGACTACCGCCTCGGCGCCTCACAAGTACCTCACTGATGGACACCACCAAGGCTCATACTGGGACCATGGGTGATATGGGGCAGGTGGTACTGGCATGTCATGATAAATATGAGCAAGCGGAATCCTGCAACATCACCCAGTTTGGTTTGTAGCAAAAATCGGTTTTTTAAAAGTTTGAATGGGAGGACATTGCCGTAATAATCGGTGGCTTATCAGATATGTATGTAATTCATTGTGACGGAATACTGTTGTTGCAAGTAGGTTGCCGGATCAACAGGGACCGCCTCCCCAAACACGAATAGGTGCCATTTCCTCATAACACGAAGCGCGTGCCATCCCTTCCATCTTCTTACTCCAGCTTTCACCCCCAATGAGTTCAAGCGGGGATCAAAGAACACTAAGCAGCCTCTCCAAGAGCGTGAGGTCATGCCTGAGAGGGAGAACATCAACTCGTAATCGGCCTAGTGTCTTCACTGCCCGGACAGACTACAATTACCTCCCCCTCTCTAACACTTCTCCAGTGCGCCCGACACACTCCACTCCAGACGAAACTTCTGTTTCTCCCCCTGTAATTGGAAATACTCCATACTATGTTGAATTCAACCCGAATGTCGAGGACAATGCACTCCTATCTTTTCCAACCCCACACGAGGATTTTCCAGCACGAGATGCCGAGTGTGGTGATTCTCGAATGGGGTCTCTCACTACGGAAAAAAGTGGTCTTCCGATCGGTTGGCTGTACGCTTCTGTCGCCGCTGTAGCCTATGTGTACAGTTTGGATCAAAACATAACTCCAAATTACCTCCCAATCGCCGCGAGCGCGTATGGAAAGCATTCAAGTATCGGAACAATCTTCACTGTGGAAAGCATCATTAGTGAGTGCCAAAAAAAAACCTTCATATTCTTCATGCTCATGAGGGTGGTGGCCCCGTCGATTCTGTGGCGACAACATGATGTTCTGGACGTTGCTCGCTAGATGGCGTATCGAAACCATTCATAGCGAAAATTGCAGATGTTATCTCCCGTCCCTCAGCTTGCATGTGCTCACTGGTGTTCTATACTGCGGGCTACCTCATGATTGCACTTTCATCCTCGATCACACATGTCATCACTGGATGTATGTTGTATACTGTGGGCCACTCAGGCTTGAACCTCGTCACAGACATCATTGTGGCTGATATAAGCTCCCTTAAATGGAGAGGGTTTGTACTGAGCTTGACGGGGTTGCCTTTCCTTGTGAACACTTTCATCGGTGCGGAGATCGTCAACGCTGTCCTGAAGAGGAATGCTTGGAGATGGGGATGTGAGTCATTCGTCCTTCCTCCCAGGATATTTTCCTAGTTCACATAACTATTATTCAGACGGGATGTTCGTGATCATCCTCCCCGTTGTCACGCTCCCCGCGATATACATCCTCCATCACAAACACCACCACCGTCGAATGCAGTCTGTATCCCAGAATTCCCCCTCCAATTGCTCAGCTGCGGGAACGAAGCAACTGGAAGACGAGGATGGGACTTACTGGAATAGGCTCAAGAACGTCATAGTGAGGATGGATTTCGGGGGACTGGTCCTCATTGGGATAAGCTTCTCGTTATTGCTATTGCCTCTGACACTTGCGAAGAGTGCGCAGCGAGATTGGACTCACCGTAAGTAGGCGGTCTTCACTCTTCGAGATGACAGTTGAGCATCATTTTCCACTCCTATGCTTGCATTTGAATTGCCGACCGATGGATCAGCCTCTATGCTGGTCATGACTGTGCTGGGGGTGTTATTCATCAGTGTTTTCATGTTAAATGAGCGACTATGGACTCAATATCCACTCTTCCCATCTCGATTCATCCGAAACCGCACATTGTTGATCATCATCTTCATCGACTTCTTGTACTTTGTGGGTTTCCCGTTTTTTCTTTTTCGGTTTCTCTGAGCTGGATGCTCACGAGCTTTGGTAGATGTCAGGTTGGATGCGAACGAATTACCTCTCCAGTTATGTCTATATCGTCAAGGACTGGTAAGTTTTTTATACCATCTTCCTGAATCTATTCATAGCATCGGAACACCAGGACACCCCGAGAGTGGAGCTATTGTGAGTATCGCTCACACCATTGGTCAGACACCGGAGGCCGATCTTTCATTAAAGTCAACAATGCAACCACATTCTCTCTGTGCATCCTGGGTCCTGTCGCTGGTCTCATACAGCGGTACACTCATAGATACAAGACACTCCAAGTTACGGGACTCTCGATACGACTAATGCAAGTGTACCCCACCGAACGTGCTTGATTCCTTCATCTGATTGTTCCCTTTTCTAGGGGAATGATCTTGACGACGCTTTGCAGCTCAGGTACTGCATCGTAAGTATCTCAAAGCCCATCCTCAGCGTTATCTGATCCATTCTTTCTTGGAGTTCGCATTGGCTAGTAAGTAATATGCCCAGTACTCCACGGCCAACCTGCGCAATTCTTCTACCCAAAACCCTTTTATCCTACACCTAGGTCGCATCCCAGGTTCTCATAGGCGCTGGCGGTGCATTCAATGTTGCGGGGAGTCGCGTTGCGTCCCAAGCCAGCGTACCGCATACTGACCTTGCAAGCGTTGTCGCGATCTTGGCCTTATGCACTCAGTTTGGTTCTGCTACTGGGAGTGCAACTGGTCCGTCCATTCTGCTCGCGTCCCCGCTCTGGCGCTCATTTGTTGTACAGCTACGAAGCTGTGGCGAACTACCCTGGTTCCGTGTCTCATAAAGTATTTGCCATGGCTCACCAACGAGGAGATTCAAGAACTTTTTGGCTCTATTTCGAAAGTACGACAGTACCCGTACAATGACCCGGTACGGCAAGGCGTCATTAAAGGCTAGTCGTTAAGGTGGTCCATCTGGAATGACGCAGAACTGAAGGCGTCTGGTCATGAATAGCCTATGAGGAGACGGCCCGTCCATTATGGCTCTGGGCTCTTTTCTTATGTGCGTGGCTAACTTTCTCCCTTCGTGTTTGAGGTAGTTGATTAAACGTGTGAATCATTTCCATCTGGGACCCATTCTTTTTTTGAACTCCCTATTGCGTCGGACCGCGGTTCTCATTAATTTCCTTTGTTATCCCGTCCCATCGCTGTTTCCTTTCCGAACGGACTTGCTTTCATTTCTCAACCACGGATCCTGAACCATGTCGCTGCAATAATGTTTCTTCCTCTTGGGACATACTCATCATTGCTCCGTAAACGGAACGACTTGATACGCTCCGCGCTTCCACTTCGAATCGGAAATGATATGGACATTCATCTGACGACACCTACATGGGCCGCTTCCGCCTTACCAACAATTAATCGACAACTCACCTTCCACCATCTGCACTCCCAAATCATTAGCAATTCCCCCCATTATCGCGACCCTTTTCCTTCCAAATTACTACCTGGGTGACACTCACAACGTCATAGAAGGCACCTCCTTGCCCGCCGAACGCCGACGCCCCCGCTCCCGGTCACCATCCTCGCTATCAACGGTAGATGGGCCTGCTCCCAACATATCTCCTAAGCAACACACGGAGGGTTCGTTCATCCAAACCGAAGCCTTACGTGAAGCTCCTAGTATTTCTCCCATTCATGGATTGTGCGATGAGCAATCGCCACTTATGGAAGGATGCACGCATAAGTCATACTCCAGTTCAGAGAGGGGGGACGAGGACGCGAATCAGGATGGGAACCATGTTGAAGAAAGCCGAAGACTCATTTAGGATATGAAGGGTTCTCACAAAGGTGGGACCATCACTGCCTTTCCAGGCAAGTTTGTTTGACTGAATCGCCGGCCCATTTTCCTCATCGAGGTCCCTTAGTAATCTCTTTCACTCTCACGAGCACTTTCCCAACACGCAAGGACCCTTTTCAAGGTCGCAGTTCGTTGTTAATTCCCTCCGAATCTTTCCCCGAGAACAACCTTGTATGATATTTTCTCTCACGGCATAGTGTTCCCTTTATTAGATGGCTTGCTAACAGCCAAAGCAATATTTTTCGTTCGCCCCATCTCGCGCGCGCCCCGTACGCTCGAATATTCTCCAGACTAGTCCATCCATAAAATGTCGGATCGAGGTTAGTCTTGCTCTAGATTGAACACAGCTAGAGAGTTAAGTTCGAGAATACTGAGGACCGCGGATGACTCCTTGCTGACCTGTGATATATGAGTCAGTATTATTCGAGAACGAACTATAAAAAGCGGAAGGAGGTGACCGACGTTCAAAGCGAATCCAACATGGACCATGTCTATTCCTGTGTGACAAATGATCGTGAGGCAGTTCAAATATGAAATCGTGCCGGGTCGCTTCGACTTTCGTCGGGGTCGTCGCCACGTTACCTCGCAGTCCCAGGTCGCCCATTGCGCACAAAGTGCCAAATGTTGAGCGGGTCCAGTAACGAGACTAATGACAGAGAAGATAAAAAACTCAGGGAAGTTAGTGCCAGTGGGGAGTTGCCTAGCAGAGCGAGTATATAGAGCTAGCTACACTTCTAGACGCTACCGCAACGACCATGCAAATTATTTAGATTGAAAACTCATCATATCTCTACAATAATTAATACATAGATTATTTTCGAAGGAAAGAAGAATTAATGTGCCTAACATCCTAACACGATCTACGTGCTCTAAGAGCAAATGGATGGTAGTTTGTGCTTTGCAGGTTGAAAGCAAGTAATGTATGTAGCAAGAAAGCAAAATAAGTTATCACCTTTTCAGACGGAGGCTGCTTCACCACGGCCCGAACTGAGATCACCAGAATAGTGACTCAAATCGTCATATCATCCGTCCCCAACCCCCTCCTCTTCCACATCCCCCCCGCGTTTAAATCAATGGGACACTCCTCAGGCCCCTTGAATCCAACATTGCCTTTAGATTGATAAATTGCTTTGTCAAGTCCAATACTAATCTTGATACTGGGTGGCGGGGCTATGTAGTGTTCAAGTTCGGGAAGTTCTCTGTCTTCAGTTTCTTGTGAACGTCTCGAGGTCTCGTCATAAACGGAAGCGGCAGGATCGAGGGGCCAAATCTTGTTCCGATTTCCCATGGGCGTCAATTTGATCCGCAGCGGCATCGAAGGAGGTCCATCATCAAGCTTCGCCCCCTTCTCCAGAACTCTATCCTGACAAGGGGGCTTCGACCCAACCTTTGCTCTCCCACCGCTTTCAATCATGCTTATCACATTCCTACTAGCGACCTCCGCCTGAGTCCAAGCTGTATGGCCCGCATTGAGCGCCCCAAATGCATCGGCGGCGTCACCTATAACGAATATATGCGGATACGGCGAAGAGAGGTGAATCTCACCGCCCCAATTTCCTCCCATCGTTATATCAGAGGTGGTGAGGGTGGTGGTAGGACTGCTGGAGAGGTTCCCAGAAACAATAGAATGATGGGACGGGGAATCCGAAGGCCCAGCCAATCCCTTTGGAAGTTTAAAATTAAACCTATTACTCCCCCTACACAGACATTCATCCTCTGGTAATCCCTTAGCGCAGGTGAAACCGGCCGCAAGCGGAGCGTCGTCGAGAGTAGAAGGAACAGGAGGGGGAGTGGGTCGCTCAAAGTAGCCGATTTGCATCGAGCGGAGTACAGTAACAAGACCTGTTCTAGGGTTAATGCTGTGGGGGGCTATCTTGGAGAGGAGGGAGGTGTTTGGTTTCTGACCGGTGCAAAGGAGCTAGATATGCGCAAGCAAATCATTGATGTGGTCCAAACTCAAAGAAGTGGATACGCACGATCAACTCTGCACTGATCAATCGTCCATCACAGGTCCTCAGCGTCCGTTCCGTCTTGCTCGACAGATCCACCCTAGAGGACAACAAAACTTTGACACCAAGCCGTTCCAACTGAACAATAACTATGGAAACCAACCACAAGATCGTCAATCTGAATTCCCCGCTTCGAATGACTGGAAAGACGACTCACTTTGTTCATGCATCCACTTGTCAAATCTAGGCAACAATCTGTCTCCGGAATGGACAAGCGTCACTTCCTTCCCTTCTCCGTAAAATCCTTTGATATCTGTCGCGAACTGTACACCTAATGCACCTCCTCCGATCACCAATACACTTTCACTATTCTTCACTCTTTCCTGCGCAGAACGTAACCATAAAAGGCCTTCGGGCTTGGTACCATGTTGGAGAATGGAAGCTGCATTTAGGACGTAGGGTTGTCCGTCTTCTTCCTTGTCTGATCTTGCTTCTTCGCAATCGCGGTCGGATGAGGATGAAAATGATGACGAAGGAGAATTACGGCCCGGCCGGACTACCAATTTCTTGAGTCGTCTCTCTAGCTCTTCATCAAACTTCTCGTCTTTAACACGGGTATAGTACCCCTGATCATGAACGTGATTGAATGGGGAAGGTGTTGAAGGGATCGTCAATCCTCCAAGCGCACGAATCGACGCTGGGATATGATGGTGGCGTTCGCGGTTGTGAGGAGCATGCTGTGCCGGTGTGCTCGTGGCGTTCGTACTAGAATCGCTGCTTATTGTGGGTGCAAATGAGAACAGCGAATTTGTGGGAGAACGAGAAGCTATGGTTGATGGTGTAGATGGAGTTGACGCTGTTGTGGGGGCGTGAGAGCTTGTAGGGGTAGGTGGTCCAAGGGAATATTTTTTTCGGAGCTTGGGCTACATAATTGAAAGCGACGTGATGGTTTTTTGATCATCCCCATTGGCATTGAATCAGGGTTTCGGATTAGCAGAGATGGGATCAACACACGATCAAAGAAGAGGAGAAAAGGACGCACTATGTTCTTCAGAGGTTCTTCGCTCCAAATATTGATGGGTGCTGGTAAATGGCTTCCTAGTGCATAGATTAAATAATTGAATCTGACTTGACGCTCCTCTAACGAAGCGCCTTGGTCGAGGGAGATGTATCGAACGGAGTGGGGGTGGACCGCCGTAACGTGACCGTGGATGAGGACGTGTGAAGACGGATCGGCCAGTGGAGTTTGTGGAGTGGTGAGTGTTGGGGATGTTTTGAAGATGTTGGTGTAGGGTATGACTAGCGGGGAGAAATTTAAGTGGCGTGATAGCGGGAAACTTGGTGGCTTACAAGCTTTATGTTCGTGCCCTGGTATGACGGCTATACGGGGGAAGACGTATAGGTCTGATTGAACAGAACAACTCATAAGTGCTCATGGTCATCGGATGCAGCTGGGTGTACTTACGATTGCAATGCCTACAAGTTGAGAAAGAACGGTTATACGTCAAAGAGGTTATCTCGTCCGAACGTCAAACTTACGTGTTACGCTCGATGACAACAATTCTCCAACCATGAGGAAGACTATTAGCGAGGACTTGGACAGCTCGGTGGCCTTGTTTGAGGAAAATAACGCATCAAGGAGCATGCATGAGTTAGCGCCATTACAGCCGAGAGGTGTGAGAGGAGCAGGCCGACCTCCATACGAAGCACCCAAGACGCAAACAGTGGGGATGTCTGTTGCTGACGATGCTGCTGAAGACATGGTCTAAAGGGTGGTAAGGGAGCGAGGGAATGGTAACCTCGTTGAGTGGTTTTATTGTTTTATTGGGGAGGGGACTTTATGCCCGCGGAGCGGTGAGCAAGTAATTCATTGTGACTCATCTTATCTGATTATTTCAGCTTCGGTCGTCTCCGGAACAGACTCAATCGGGAAAGGCCGATTCCGAGTCCCGGCGGATCTCACGAGGATCAAAACAACTCGAGAAATCAAACAACGATTCGTGAGTTGTTAAGTACTGGCAGAGTTCGAGGGTGAATATTCAGAGGCCTATTACTCCTGGAACACAGCTGCAAGCGAACCCCATGATTTTCTCGCTTATGAATTTCAGTTCCTCTCCCGTCGCACCCTTCATTTCCGTCCATTCGTGCCAAGTTGACATGAGAGCATATGCCAGTTGAACCTGACCCCCAGTCATTTGCCTCGTCCGCAACTTGCCGTCTCGGAGTTATTCGGATCGATTCGTTCAATTCATCCACTTATCAGATATCGTTAGGTCCCTCAGCATGTCCTCTGCTGCTACACCCTACTTCGTCAAGCAACTAGACTCGATTTAAGTCCCTAGAATCTGCCCCCTTCATGGCAGACGTTCCACAAGTCATTTCTGACCCGCAATTATTCCAACATGACGCCAAAGATGCGCCACTAACGCTCACCTTCTTCCTTCCGGACGGCGAGTCAAAGCTAACAGTTACTGAGGACAAAGATATTCATCAGATCTCCATTTACGAACACTCTTCATCTTCTGTCAGTGGGGAGTATCCCAGACTCATAGGGCTATACACACCCTCCTCGGACCCTTCCCATACACTCATCACCTCCATACCCGGCCTCTTTAAATCAGAAAGACTCTCCCCCGTCCCCGCGTTCATCTTTACATCTCCCTCAAGCGAGATATCCAATGAAAATTTCTGGAAAACGCTCTATGCTCTTTGGATCCGTCGCACAACGTCGGAACGACTTCCGGTCATCCTCTCACCATCTCTCACCAATGAAACCCTCTCCGATCTTTCCCTCTTCCTAACAACTACAGGTCTTGCTTACCCAGCACCGGATCCCTCTCCCTCCCTTCCAAACACACCTATTGCCACTTTTTGGTCATCCTCTTCCAATCCAGACCCATCCTCAACCACCGAATCTATTCACACCCGCCTTATTCTCATTCGTTCCTCATTCTGGCAAGCAGCAGGAATCCCTCCGGGTCTTCACTGGCTCCGACACCCAGCCCTTTTCCCATCACCCCACGGGACGACCTTCCCCCCAATCGTAAGCTTCACCAACTCAATGTCCCCGCCGATCTTAACAACCCACCCCCTCCGCCCACCCAAGCCGCCCCCCAATGCTATTCTCTATCGCAGACACATCATCTCTCTCAACTCGACTCTAACCCTCCGCCATCTCAATCCTTCCGACCCACGGACCTTCCGAACATACGCTACATGGCAAAATAGTGATCGCGTAAACGAGGGGTGGAGAGAAAGAGGGGACGACGAGCATCATAAGAGGTATTTAGAGAAGATGCTCAATGACCGACATTCAATGAGTGTGATTGTGGAGTGGGACGGTGAGATGGCTGGATATGCTGAGGTCGCTTGGAGCTTGGAAGATGGATGTGCGGCTTTCTTGAGAGGTGTTGAGGGTGGATCGGGGGAAACACCTGGAGTTTGGGATCAGGGGACTCACTACCTTGTCGGAGAGGAGAAGTTCCGGGGAAGAAGGAGGTGTAAGCGAGTCTTTTCCCAAGGAAAAAAACTCTCCGTGGGACTTGACATTCTGTCCTGGTAGTTACGGCTGTGATGGTCTCACTCAAGCACCTCTGTTTTCTCCGCGACCCCAGGACGAATATTGTCATGGGCGAACCCCGTTTCGACTTGCCCATCATACCGTTGCTTGCTACCTATCTCCCTCAAGAGTTCAATCGGGCAAGTTTTTGTTTTAATTCATTTCTCAGCCGTGAAGCTAGCTAAGCACAGAAGCTCCGCCACCCTGTTTATGAATTGATAGGAATTCGAACTCCCTCACAAGCGAGCAGTGTATTTTGTTTTGAGAAGGGAACGATTCTTTCAAGCTGCTATCCTCTACTGAAGTCCGGTGTGGCAAAGGAATGTTTGGAGTGGGAAGGAACGGAAGGGTGAAAGTTGGCGGAGGCCCAGAGGCTGGAAAATAGAAACGGCACCGTTGTCGAGTCGTGAGTGATGTTTAAAGAAACTGGTAAGCACTAGGCAAGCAATTAAGAGGCCTTGCATCGATTAAATAGAATAACATGCGCATATACGTATACTTTATGTAACTGCCTGGGGTTGTATAGGTGATATAATATTTATTAGTTATCCAGATGGGTGTTAGATGCATGATGTTGATCAACGCGTAGACATGCACAGGCAAATTGGTACAACGGCTGGATGCATTATTAATTTAACGACCACAACTTCTTTAGTAAAATTAAAACGCGATGCTATCTCCTAGTCCCCCTCGCATATGACCATACATTGCAATCTACATGGTCAATTGCATTACGTTTATTGAGACAGGCGCGGGAAGGGGATGTGACGATGAGCCGGAAATCGAAAAAATGGCAGAGTAGTTAATATGCACTCCAACAGTAGGTATATCGTATCTAATACTTTTCTTTCAACGTTGATCAGCTATCCATTCCGTTTCTTTTTCTTGGTTTTCGACGTTTCTGCCGATGCACCGTCGCCATGATTGCGGTTCGTTGCTCATCCCCTCGTTTGCGTTTACCAGGTGTTTTCGCACTTTCCGAGCCTGTGCTCTGTAGTTCTCCGGCGTGGGGCACTTCCTCAGCATCTTCTAACAATGAACTGAGAATCTACGAGTGATTGACTTTAATATCACACTGATACAGCAGGCAATTTGTTTGAAGCGCACTTCCATAAGGTCCTCTTTTTCAGCCTTCTTCTTGCTTTTGCGTCTGGTCGATGGCTTTTCAGGGACTGCAGCCTGAGACTCCTGTACACCAGAAGGTAGCACGGATTGTATTTCCCTTCCTTTTGGCGGAGTGATCATTGGCTGGGAGACAGTGTTTGGCTGTACGATATGTATATATATATATATTTGTTCGACTGGAGCCAGGGTTGGTACGCACCAGAGGCTTGGCCTTTTCGAAGGCCTCGCCATCCTCGCCAGCACTAGGTGCACTCGATTCATCCATCTGATCGGGAGCGTCGTCTCTGCTTGTCCTGTCGGCAGGATCTGGAGCTTGGTCGTCCTGTCGAGTCGCGTAACGCAGCCGGCTTTCCCGACGGGCTTCCGATAATTTCTGCCAGGAACCCTAACAAAGAACGTAGTTATACGCCAATTTAGTTAGAACTCAGTTTTGAAACGCACCAGCGTAAGCATAGTACCATTCATCGTCTTCCCGTCCTTAAGGGCTCTAGATCGTGGTCGGAGCGAGGTGTGGAGCTGAGATCCGTCGCTCAGACGTGTTTTTTCGGTTTCGGTGCTAAGCTTGGCGCCTAGCCAGCAGTCATTGGCGAGGATCTTGGTACTAAACCAGCGCCCGTCGAGGGGGGGTGTGCCCGTGTAGATTTCCGCTGAAACGTGGTTTATCCCCAACCCCGTTATTTTCATTACGCCATCGTGCAGGGCACAAAGTGGTTCCGTGAAAACTTCTGCAATGAACTGATGAAGCTTATCAAAACCTTGCTCCGTGTAAAGGGCCCCAATGTAAGCCTCAAAAAGTCTTGCTGGAAACAACGCATGAGTGCATTGTTCGGCTATCGTGTGATTGTTACCATACCACTATTGAGGGAGCGCCCTTTGGCGGGAGAACAGGTGGAGAGACAATAGTATTCTTCCATTTTGGAAAAGAAGGCGTTCGAAAGCACCCACTCCCTGATATGCGATACATGGGACGTGCGTGACTGGAAAAAGAAGGCCTCTAGCAGGAGCGTTACGGAGAAATATAAGAAAGCGTCTCCCAGCCATTCAAGCCGCTGACTTCTTGTGGTCCCGCGGCCAAGAAAGACTATTTTAAGCAAGTGGGGGGACTGGATGCGCAGGAAACCGCTGGGGGTTCTCCCATTGCCAACATCCCCAGGAGGTACACTGTTCAGGTTGGAACTTGCGGCGTCTCTTGAAGGGTCTAAACAGCTGGTGGGCTTATTGGGCGTCAAAGATCCTTCCATAGTCTTTGACGACCTTTTCCCGTTCAAGAAAGCATAGACCGGTGGCGTGAATATTTCTATGATCAACCGATGGATTTCGTCAAAACCTTGCTCCGTATACACAGCTCCAACATAGGCTTTAAGCATCCTTGCTAGAGACGATCTATGAGTGCAAAAACTGCGTTGCCATACGATTAGTGTCATACCACGATTAAGATCGTACTCGCTACCGGTCTTTCGGGGATCGTAGCCGGGGAGTTTACACCTGTCTGCAATGTCGCATAGGACTGCATCCGAAAGAACATTTGACCTGATGTCTATCACAAAGGATGTTTCTAGCTCAGAAAAGAAGTCCTCCAACAGATTTGTTATGCTCAAACACAAGACAGCTTCACCCAACCGTTCGAGCCGCCTATTCCTGTTCAGTGCACAGCCAAAAGAGACCACTTCGAGGGACCGAACGTGTAGATGTCTTCCGGGTGACATCCCATCCTGAGAAAGCGCATCACTTGGCTTAGAGGGGATGGAAGTGACTGGAGGATTCGAACCATCTAAGGGTGTGCGTTTTGCAAGGGCTCCTTTCGCTAAGGCTATGAGTTCTCCGAAGAGGCCGCGTCTCGCTACATCGGCAGCATATTGTGGTGCCAAAACGTCAACACAAGATATAATGGAATACACGCTAATGCTGGAAGGGTCCAGGCCAGGAGCTTAAATGTGACAACGATGTGAGCAAAAGTGGTCACTCTTCGAGAGGAGAACGCGTGTACCAGAGACGAGATAGTCGATGAAGGATGCAATAGGGAAACCCGACCCCTCAGCCATTACTAAGGATAAATGATTGGACGGGAGCGACCCGCACTGCACAAGATCAAGTAACCAACGGAAGCAAAGAAACCCACTTCCCTTTTCTCACCACGGCACGGACCGAATGAATGCGTCCATCCTTGAATTACCTTGCTTGCAAGGTCTCTTGCATGTCCACAATTCGTGGGAATTCTGCAAATATATTGGTGGGAATTCTGCAAATGTATTGACCGCTTTTCTGCACGTGTCCTTTCCTCCGACGGCTCATTTGTCCCGCAAACTCTGTAGCGCAAATTTAGGCCCCAAAGGTGCTGTGCACAAGATCGTCTGTAACCTAGGGTCACCATGACAATATGACATATAATTCGGACCACTTTCACTATAGTACCGCTCAGGCGGTAAGGCAAGCCACCTGGCCCCTC